AGCTCCACTGGGCCGGCCCCCCCCCACCTCGGGGTTCTGTGCTGCCCCTGCTGTGAGCTGTCTTGGAGGTGGTCACACTCCCTCACTCATCTGTTCCCTCTCTGGGGACTGGAGCTCTTCTGTCTTGCTCCACTGTCCCCAGTCCTTGGGCAGCTCCCCCAGTGCATTCAGCCTGTGCAGCGTGAGGCTCTGCTGGGGGTTCACACAGCCACAGGCCAGGGACCAGCCTCTAGGGGGCTTGGCCTTGTGCTTCACCTCTGTGGGAAAGCGCTTCCATTTAGATTCAGTGTCGGGGCTTGTAGAAAAATTGGAAAACAGAAATGCATAAAATAAAATAAAAACCACTCAGTAATAGATGCTGTTAGGATTTCCGTGTACGTTTGTCTTATGCAGTGCCTGCTTGTGTCTACACATACATGCAAACATTCTACGATTTTTCACTTATCTGTGGGCATCCCCCAGGCCTTTGCTTTTCTGAAATAACTGTTTAAAGACTGCATAATAGTTAATCATATGGATATGAGTTTGTTTATGTATTTACGTAGTGTAATCTGTTGCTGGGTGTTTGTGTTGTGGGTATTTATTTTTATTCTTTTAAGCTAAGCTGAGTCGCCTTACACACAAACCTTTAACTGTGTCCCTGATGGATTACATCCTTACAAGAGAGTCCCCCACGTGAGTTAATGGAGCAAAAGGTACAGATGGAACAAACCTGTGCCACACTCTGCCTGGTTGCTGTCCGCACAGTCCTGTCAGTCCACACTCGCTAGTGAGGATGAGGTCACTGCCTCGCAGTTTGATGAACGCTGACTCCCGGGAGTGTTTTGTTTAGCGGTAGTTCAAGTAATGAAATAACTTCAGACTGTCACTCCCCGTTTTCAGAATATGTGCTCACTTGCCATGGTGGAGTCCGTTTCTCAATGGAATCTATCCCCCCCTATTTTTTAAACACAGGGTCTTGCTCTGTCACTCAGACTGGAGTACAGTGGTGTGATCATAGCTCCCTGCAGCCCCAAACTCCTGGGCTCAAGGAATCCTCCCTTCCCAGGTAGCTGAGATCATGGGTGCACGCCCCCACACCTGGCTGATTTTTTAATTATTTTGTACAGATGGGCTAGTCTCAAACTCCTGGCCTTAAGCCATCCTCCCACCTCGGCCTCCCAAACTGTTGTCCTCAAGAAGAAGATAGCCCCTGATTCCAGTGCACGTCACACGGAAGCTTGGGTGGCTATGCCCAGGTCCTCAGTGTGTCCGCTGCAGTTCACGCATACTGCCCTCCCTCAGGGGCTCATGCAGGTGCCCCAGGTTTGGGGAGACTCGGCTCCCCCATGCACCCTCTTGTGCCCAAAGCACTCATCTCTGTCAGGTATGTCCACTCATTTAATTGCCTCACCAGCTATGCTGTGAGCGCCACAGTGATGATGAATATGCCCAGAGTGGGGCTCATGCCTGTAATCCCAGCACCTTGTGAGGCCAAGACAGGAGGACCTCTTGAGCCCAGAAGATGGAGACCAACCTGGGCAACAAGGCAAGACCCTGTCTCTACAAAAAAAACACAAAAAACAAAGTCAGCGGGTGTGTAGTTTTTGCTAAGAAGATATTGTTGGAGTCTAGGGGCCTTCTGGGCAGCCAGTGAAAAGGCCCGAGACAGATGTGACTGCTGTGCCCCCACGCCCCGTGGGTTACAGGGCATGGAGGGAGGAGTGAAGAGGGGCCGGGCCGGGCAGGGGAGCCTTGGTGGGTCATTGAGATGCTGGCTGTGAAGACGCCGAGCATGTTGACCATTGGAGGTAAAGCAAGGTGGACTCACCAAGGGATTCTGAACTAACAGAAGCGAAGTGTGGGGAGGCCGAGCGGAGCTCTGCTGGAGGAGCGAGAGCTGGCAGCCTCACTCTGCACACAGGCAGAGGGTGAGCCCTGCGGCTGAGCCTGAGTCAGAGAGCCTTTGAGTCTGTGTGCAGGTCACGTGGGGCAAATTAACTTCACCAAAAATAGCCCAAAACAACAGTTCTGGGAAGCACAGTAGAGACAGCTTTCAATGTAAACAAAAGAGCAAAGAAAAGATAAAGGCTTGATTGGAAGGAGTGAACATTTGGAAAACCAAGAAGAAATGCCTTGGGGCAGAATGCCCAGGATAAGCTTCCACTGGTAGCACTTTCAAAGTGCTCTCTCCTGAGTGTGGATGTCAGACACAGCATGCTTGGATGGAGAGCTCCTAAGTTCTCCCCTTCTATTTGTGGCTGTGGCAGACAGGCCTGTGGCCTTTGGCTTTTCCTGTCCATGCGCAGAAAGGACTTCCTGTTTGCTCTGGGTTTCTTCTTTGTCCTTGCTGAGAACTGACCAGATGACGGTGCAGTGTAAACCTGGACTTGGGGTCATTGTTGATTCTCAGCTTGGATGCAAGTTAGTGTCACCAGAGAGCTTCATGCACAAATCACAAGAGAAAAGAAAAGAAAAAGCTTCCAGAAATTCTGATGTTATTGGAATGTGGGTTGTCGTCCTCTGGGGTCTTGGAGGTCCCAGCGTGGTCAAGACTGAGACACACCTGTCAGTGCTCCTCTGGAGACTGTGTCCTGCAGGCCACGGACTCCTCTGCTTAGTCCTCCTCCTCCCTTCTCCACCAGCAGGCAGAGGGTTGCGAGTCTCGTTTTCCTTTGGGGCTGTTTGAGGGCTTAAGGGCGGGCGGGCAGTGTGTGGGCAGGAACTTGGCGATTGTGCACATCTGTCTGGGGCAGGGAGTTTCATCACGTGCAGAGGTGGCCCTTCTGTCATGGGCTGTCAGGCAGCTCCCAGGCTCTCCTTAGGACCAGGATTGGATACGTACCGAGGGGTGAGAGAATGTGCTCATGCGCCAGGCCAAGTAGGCTGAGTCGCTGTGGTTATGTTTATTATCTAGTTCAAGTGTTAGCCTTTTAGTTGTTTGCCAAAATAATACTTGCTGTTTGGGGCTAAAGATCTCTCTTTGTGTATACTTTGTGTCTTGTATCAGTTCTGTTACTTTGTATGATGAAAAAGTTCATTTTGGGGATGCTACAACCATTGGATGATGAAAGACTTTGGCTCAGTGTAAGGGAAATCACCCAATTTGGTTAAATTACAAATATAAATAATCTAACAATGTAACTTTCTTGATAACATCTTGGTAACATTATCCCAAGAATTGGCCCCCTGGAGGAGTTGCTGGGTGGCTGGGATTTGCTTTCCTGAGTTATGTAAACTTCCGAATCGGCCTTGTGAGAGTTGCTTTTCTTGGATGTGGCTGTGGAGTCGTGCAGGATCAGTGAGTTCCCCATAGACAGCTCAGGAGAGCTTTCTGCTAGGGTAGGGCTGGGAGCAGAGTGTCAGTTGTGGATTTGGGGTGGTCTTCTGCAGGTCAGTGGCCATCTTCACCTACCTCCTAACTCTGCCTCTGCCTCTGCTTTTGTGCCTGTCCTGTCTCAGGGCCAAGCCCTGCCTCCCTGGGCTGGCCTTCTGCACAGCAGATTGTGGGATCTGTCCTAGCAAGGGAACTTATGGGACATTTTGATCAACTGCCTCCTACCGTGAGCCCGATCTGCAAGGCCACAGTATACTTCCACCCTAGGAATCTACCTACAAAGGGTGGCACCGCACCTCTGTGCTGTGTCCCCCATTGCTCATGCATCATGGTGTTTCTCAGCCTGTGGAAACCCATGCCTCTCTTGATAATTTAAAAAGTTAACGCCATGTCAGGCATGGTGGCTCACACCTGTAATCCCAGCACTTTAGGAGGTTGAAGCGAGAGGATTGCCTGAGCCCAGGGGTCTGAGACCATCCTGGGCAACTTGACGAGATCTTGTTTCTACAATAAGTAAAAAAATTAACCGGGCATGGTAGCAAGTGCATGTAGTCCCAGCTACTCAGGAGACTGAAGGTGGAAGGATTGCCTGAGCCCAGCAGATCGAGCCTATGGTGGCTGTGAGCATGCACTGCACTCCAACCTGTGTGACAGTGAAACTCTGACTCAAAAAAAAAAGCTTATGCCTTTCCCTAATGTTGTTTGAAATTTTGAAATATATTGAGATCATAAAGAGGTTGAGGCATTAGTAATTTTTATTCTTCCAAATCCTACAAGTAATAAATATATTTTAGCTGTAAAATGTTTCAACATTGAGAAGGGGGGGGAAATTACAGTTATTATAGCCTCCTCACCTTGCCCAAGAAAGTGTGCCCTCCTCTGCAGAGGTCATGACACACACCAGTTCACTGTGACCTGAGTCGAGCGTGGGGTGACGGGATGAGCCGTACTGTGCTGACTTGTTTTGCCCTTGGTGTGCTGGGGAGCTCTCGGGCAGGAGGGGTTCCGACCTCTGTGCCTTGGTGGCATGTGACAGTTTTGCATACAGGCTGTTTGCACCTCACCAACCTTATGTCAGTGGGGACTGAAGACCTCTCAGGTTCCTCCCACTGCAGATATGGCAGCGGTGGGCCTGTCCCACCTAGACCTGTCCCGTGTGAGGGCCTTGTAGGTGGGTTCCAAGGGTGGAAGTGTACTTTGGTTGCAGAATATGCTTTTTCGGGCTGTACCAGTAGATAGTTGTAGTCTGATCTTTACTGTTCTTTTCAGAGCATTTTATGATTTATTCAAGAGGTATAGGAGGACAGTGTTAGGTCCTGCTGTGTAATTAGTTTTTATAAGGGACTGTTTAATTTGAAGAAATATAAAAATAAGGTTTTGCCTCATAATCCATGCCAGCTTGGCTAACCTAGTTTCTGTCCAGTCTGATGATGAAACACTACATAAAATTCCCATGTGTGGTTAAAGTGATCTGGGCTGTTTTTACATTTTATTGGTGAGTAGGAGATAGGTAGAATTTTTTTTCTTTCTCAGAAAGTGCTGATTATTACACTAATGATTGTAATATGTATTCTAAAGAAGATATGAAACCAAGGTAAATAAGGAAGACTTTTAATTAACAATCAACATCATTCATTTTTGCAAAATGAGAGTAAATAAGATGATTCTGTTTCTGTTTCCTCAGATCACTCCAAGAACTGAGGCCCCTGTCAGCAGCATCAGTAATAGTCTCGAGAACGCACTGCACACATCAGCACATTCCACGGAGGAGTCACTGCCCAAGAGGTCTTCAGGGAAACATGGCAAAGGTGAGTCACGCCTGGGCGGCGTGGGGGTGTCAGAGGGTCAGAGGAATGAGGATGCCCTAGAGCATGGGACAGAGATCCTTGGAGTTTTACCAAGTGTTTTCAGATCTTTCATAAATGCTCATTATAGTAAGGTGTGTAGTTTTCTAAATTCTCTAATAGCATGAATACACCTTGGCTGTAAAAACTCAAATATTGGTGCTTATTAAGGGGAAGAAGATGAAGTTTATGACACCCTTCTCCTCAATCCTGGAGGTTACTAAGAAGAGGAAGGTGAAGGTTACTTTCTCCTCCTCCTCAATCTTGGAGGTTACTAAGGGGAAGTTGGTGAAGGCTTGATGCCTTCTCCTCCTCCCTGCAGGAGTGGCGCCATTCCGCAGTGCCATCTGCAGTATGAGTGGCGCCTTCTCTGTCCTTACCAGCTTGCCCACCAGCAGCCAGGCACGCCTTCTTCACACTCGACACATGGCCAGTGAGGCTGAGGGCCCGAGTCTCTGTTCCTATTTAATGTAAATGTAGGTAGCTCCATGTGGCGGTGACTGTGGCATTGGACAGCAGGGCACTGGGCAAACTGATGCCTGAGCGCCCTGTGAGACAAGGCCGGGGCCTCCAGGTCCTGCTGCCTCCACACCATCCTGGATAGCTACAGAGGTGCAATGGTGGTACTACAGGAGCCCTTTTGGGAGGAGAACAAGGTGACTTAGAGAACCCGATTCCAAGGAAAATAAATAGTTGCGGAATTAGGAGGGGTTGGGGGGTGGGTGGGGTGCCCATCCCAGCCGAGTCACTTGTCCTGAGGCTATGTGGCATTGAGAGTGGCTGCGCCCACGTGTGCTGGCCTTGGACTCCCCTCCATACTTGGAGGTATGTGCATCTCCTTATCTGGAACTTGAGCTGTGGGACTGGGAGCCACCCGCTGGCTCTGTGCGTTTGGCCTCCTGTCTCCTCGTGTCCAGGGATGGTGCTTTGTGCCTTACAGACACTTAACCGTGGCTTAGATTTTAGAGTCAAGTCCCCTTCTGACAGATTCCCCAAGAGCTCCAACTCTGACTGAAATCCTAACTCAGGAAATACCTGTGCCCCTGACAGCTGCTGCCTGTGTTGTGCATGTGAGACATGCTGAGGCATGAAGGCAGCTTGTCCTCATGGCGGCCTTGGGAGGGTTGGTGGCCCACTCCACCCCCGCCCTCTGAGGTTGTGGCAGTCTTTACTCTGTGTGCTCCTCTTGAGAGCGACCGTGTCTCCTGGCGAGTGTCTTGGTCACACAGCCATCTTGGAGATGATGGTGCCCTGACCCAGCGTGGGTGGTTGGCACCTGAATGGTGGGCCTTCCTCCACTGCAAACCTGCCCCTCCTCTTCCTCCTTCACGTTGTCCCAGGAGAGTCGCCTCCTGTGTGCCCAGGCAGCCCAGCCTGTGTCCTGTGCCCTGCATACCTCCAGACCTTAAGGGCTGCACTCTCCTTTGCCATAGTGCTTTTTCCTCCAGATGTCATGATCAAGATCCCCCATCTGTTTTGGGGTATAATTTCAAAAGATACAGTTATTATCTGCCTTTCTCTTGCTGTATGCTTTGGTACCCCAAGGGCAGGGTGAGCCAGTGGGTTGGGACAAGGCCTGTGGAGGAAGTGGGTTTGCAGTGAGACCAGGTTGTCCCCTCCCAAACACCATCGTGCCTGAAATATCTCAGTAAGCCAGACTCTCAATAATCCCCAGCATTCTCCAGTCCTTGGTCATAGAGAATCGTTGTTTCTTCTGTCCAGAATTGGCAAGCGAGTGAACTTACTTTCATTAGTCACATCTCTCCTGAGTCCTACTGCTATTGTGTTAGGCATAGGTTATTGCTCTCCAGAACACCTGAAGTCACCCTAGTTTGTATTGTTTTATTACTATAAAGTTTTCTCCTTGTCTTCTTTATTTTCGAGTTGGAGTCTCACTCTGTAGCCCCGGCTGGAATGCAGTGGCAGCATCACGGCTACCACAGCCTCGATCTGCTGGGCTCTGGTGATCCTTCTGCTGCTGCCTCTCAAGTAGCTGGAACCACAGGTGCATGCCCCCATTCCTGGCTAATTTTTTATTTATTGTAAAGGTGAAGTCTTGCCATATTGCCCAGGTTGATCTCAAACCCTGAGCTTAGACAATCCTCTTGCCTCTGCCTCCCAAAGTGTTGGGATGACAGGCAGGAGCCACCGCACCTGGCTCCCTGCCTTTTTTGTACTTCACTTCTGTTTTGGTTTTTTCTCTCCTTCCTTGGAAGTCTTACAATGATGCCATTTAACTTATAAAGTAGTCAGACTTTTGAACTTCTTAGTATATAAAAGCTCAGGGAACAGTGGGTAACATCAGTCCCTGCCACAGCTTCTGTCAGGCATTTCAAGCTCATTACAGATATTCACTTACATAATCTTCTTTAATTAAATTAATTAATGTATTTTTTTATTATAGAGACTGGATCTCTCTGTGCCCAGGCTGGTCTTGAACTCCTGGGCTTAAGGGATCCTCCTACTGTGGCCTCCTAGAGTTGCTGGGATTATACATGTGGCCACTGTGCCTGGTCTCTCTTTTTTTTAAATTTAATTTATGTATTTTTAACTTACATAATGTTCATAGTAACCCTGTAGGGCTTGATGTGCAGAGATTATTGCCCCATTTTACAGATGGGAGAACTGAGTCACAGATAAGTAACATTCCTCGAGTAGGCAGAGATTCAAACCCAGAGCCACTGCTCCTCCCCTGTGAGGATACTAGCAAAGGAGAAGGAGGATGCAGTGTTCGGTCAAGTGCACATTAAAGGGTGGGAGCACGATTTCTTCCTGTGCCATTGTGAATGTGTCGAAGTGCAGGAGTAGAGATGATGGTGCAATGAGCCTGTGTGCCTGCAGCGTCTTGGAGGGCTTGTGTGTGTTTCCCACACCCAGTCTCTGTGTTCTTTGTTGTTGAGACTTAGGGGAGCAGTCCTTGTCACATACATGGTGAGGTGGACATTACTCTTAATAATACTCTAAGTGGGAGAGGCTCTTTGTGACTTTGTTCTTTGGACTTGGAGTAATTATAATTAAAAAAAAATTTTTTTTGGAGACAGTGAAGGAGCTATTAGAGTTTCATTAAACTTAATTAACTTTATTTACCAAGAGTTCTAAGCCTTTTTGGTCTCAGAATGCCTTTGCACTCTTAAAAATTATAGATTCCAAATAATCCATTTTCATATGGGATATATTTGTAGATATTTGCTATATTATAAGTGTAAAATGGGAGGTTTTTTTTAACCTAGATAAATTTTTTTGTTGTGTGTCACTGAGTTTTCTGTTTGTTATGCAGCATAATTGTGACTGGGAGATAACTTAAAGACTGAATCCCAAAAGTCTTGTACTTTTAGTAAAACAAAACTCATCCCAGCAAATTAGAACATGAATACTAAAACAAAAATTACAACAGAATCTAAATTCTAAAATGCTAGTAGTGACCTTTCCTGAGTTGTTCTGGGATTCCAGTGTACAGCTGGAATTGAGAAATCTTAATGATTTTAATTTCTCTATTGGCTCTTTATTCAATATATATGAGGAGCCATCCCAGGAAAACTGGAATTACTTTAGGAGGGCAGGCCCCTTGTAGTCCAGGCTTCCCCACTAGGTGAGTGTTCTGGGAACCCACTGGCACCCGTGGACCAGCTAGCATTGTGCAAGGCTGGAGTTAAGCTTCAGCTGATCTATTTTTTTGAGATTCTTTCAGTGTATATGCTCATTTCGTGATGGTGATTGACGAGCATACCTGCCCACACCATGCTGAGTGTTCAGCAATTTTTGACCAAAAACTGCATAACCCCCTTGCCCTACCCTCGCTGTTCACCCAGTCTTGCCCCGAGTGACTTTTTTTGTTTTCCCAGATGAAAAAAGTCCTCAAAGGGAAACGGTTTGCCAATGTGGAAGAGATGAAACACAAAACAGCAGCAGCACTAAAAGGCATCAAAATGGACACATTCAAAAACTGTTTTGAGCAGTGGAAAAAGTATCTCAATAGGTGTATTGCATCAGATGGAGAGGACTTTGAAGGTGACTGAAGTTTAAGGTGTAAGGATAAATACACAATTTTTTAATAAATAAATTCCAGATGTTTGGGCCCCTTCTTGTTTTATAAGGACTTCCAAACACACGGTGAAATTCAGAGAGTTTGATAGTGATACTCACCACCTCGATTCCACAATTTCATTTCACTCTGCAGATGCTTTTCAACTTGCAATAGGGCTAGATCTTGATAGACCCGCTGCAAGTTGAAAATACTAAACGGAAAATGCATTAATAGACTTAACCTGTGTCACAGCCAGCCTGGCATGTCGCAAATGTACTCAGAACATTTGATTAACTGGTAGTTGGGCAAAACCATCCAACGCACAAAGCCTGTTTTGTAATAAAGTATCAAATATCTCATGTCATTTATTGAATACTGCACTGAAAGTGACTGACAGCATGATTGTATAGGCACCCGAAGTGTGCCTTTGAGCATGTGTTCCTTTCGCGACATCCTAAAGTCAAAGAATCATCATGTTTTGCACCATGTGAAGTTGGGCCCATCCGTATTTATTATTTTAAGCCAGCTGCTTGCAGCCTTCCTCAGGCAGGCATTCTGGTTTGAACCACAGTTCACAGAGACTTAAATGCCTGTTTTCTCAGTTTTCCTAAAGAAAATGTGATTTGAGACATAAGAGTGAAGTCACTCGTCATTCTGTAGGCCAGCAGGACTTCTGTCTATGAACCGCATTTGACAGTGCCTACAGGGATTGCAGTACACGTTTGTCATGTTTCAGGCTCTGTTTCAAGTACATATTGAACCACTTCATGTAAAACAGGAGAATCCTGCCGCTTGATGTTCTGTGCTGAAGCTCATTCCGCCTCGTGAGAGCTATTGTTACATTTCCAGGGAGGCTGGGTGTGGTGGCTCACGCCTGTCAACCCACCACTTTGGGTTGTGGAGGCGAGAGGAATGCCTGGGCCCAGCGGTTCAAGACCAG